GCTTTTGATATATTTTTTCGAATGGTTCGTAAGTATTGTAATTTAAATCTACAGTTCTTGATGCATTGATTAAATTCTCTCTGTGGAAACTTCTGAGGCTCTTTTTCGCTTCCACCGCCTGGTGTCCCCGACTCTGGAATTTTTGTTTTCATTGCGTAGATGTCGCTTGAACGTTCTTGATTTTTTTAATGCATGAAAATACTATGTTTATCTGTTTTCAGATTATTTTACTATCGGAAATTTAATTTCAAAATTTGTATTTTTGTCTTAGAAAAATGTGACGAAATGGCAGATTATTTTTCCAACATCCGTCTGTTGCAAGCCCTTGTGAAATCCTTATTAATTCAACTGTTGAAGGACGTGTAAATTCGCACTTCCTTGAGTGAGAAGAAAGCTTATGGATTGCGTCAGCGGAATGCAAATAAGAATGAGGGAATTTCTCATTTCAACCCATCCCCTATGATGAGTGTGTTTTATTTTGTTGTTGAAAATAATAATTTTAAATAATCTGCGATATGCCTCGAAATTCCCCGTATATATATGCAAATGAATAGAAAAGAAACCAAGCAATTATTTGCTTCAAGAAAATTTAACAATTCTTGAATCCAAGTTCTATATGTATTACGTGAAGGGATATTGTACTGTACTTCACTTACTTGAAAATGAATTACAGATATGTACAAGTTCATCCTGACTGAATGTAAATAGTCAATTCTGAAAAACGAATGTTGCTGAGACTATTGATGCTTATATGTGGAATATAATAAAATAATACAGTACTTGTATGTAGTGGAATGCCCCCAAAATTTTATTTTTCTGAAGAACTATGGTAAATTTCTGCAGCTGATTTCGTTCACCGCCATTTCAATTGCCATTGATTTTAGGCAGTCTAGTTATAGGTTAGTTCAATTTTTAAAATAAACTTTTACAAACTTTGAGAGGTTAGGAATGTTTGTAAGTGCGGTACATCAAGTTATGATATCTTATCATTTTTTGAAAGCTGATGCGACATCTAGGCAAGTATCAAAATCAAAGATTCAAGGACACATGCTTTGTAAGAGCTTTGTATGCTTTCATTCACTGCTTCAAACAGATCATTGCTTTAGTACTGCATTATGAGTTGATAGTTCCGAAGACGAGCTTTTGCGTGAAGCACATTTGAGGAAGGTCGGTATATAAAGCTTTTATAGAAAAAAACCTCATGATGCCGTAAACAAAACTTTGGAATGTGATGTGTTATCTTAACCGGGGTTTTTCGATTTCTCCTCTCAGGGTATGGCGTTTACTTTGGAGGAACGCCAAAAGTTGGGCATTCACGGGTTGCTCCCGGCCCGATTCAAAACCCAGGAGGATCAGGTCCAACTTTGTCTGTCCAATGTCAACCGATATGATGAGGATCTCAACAAATACGTCTACCTCGCTTCACTGCAGGTAAAGCAGAAATATATGAAGAAAATCCAAGAATGTAATTTAACATATTCGTGCCTCGCTTAACGGACTTATTGCGATATGGCTTCCGTCAGTTTTTACTCTTGCTATTGCATCAGATTATAGATCGAAATGCGGAGAAAATTTGGTTCCTAGCTAATTTTCGAGATCTCTTGGTCGCAATCTTGAATTTAAAAGGTTTCTTTTTCCGTGTTTCCAACAATTTTGAATTTTATGAAGTATATTTCGAATTGGAAATTTTTATTCCGCTCTACATTTCTCGGGTGAAAGGCTTTTTGGAACGTAAATTTAAAATTTTAATCAAATCGATACCATTTCGTGTTGTGGACTGAAATCGAAGGGATATGTGGTTGCCAGGTGATTTTCGAAAGAATTTTTCATACATTGAATGCATTTCAGAAACTCATGTTTCCAAGAATTTTGAAATTTATTAAATAAATTTCCCGGAATGTGGAACGAATTTAAAATTTTATCTAGCCTTGAATCTCTTTGGTGAAACATTTTTTGGGTGTTCTGGAACCAATATGTCAACTTTGAGCAATTCTACAATACAGTACTTGGTCAATAAACTTCTTCAGTTACGGACATCCTACAACCGAGGTACCGCAGTATTTACTGATAAGGAATAGATATACAGTAATTTGTATTCTGAATGTGTGTGTGTGTGTGTTTGTAGGACCGAAACGAACGGCTTTTCTACCGTGTTTTGTCTGAAAATGTCTCGGACTTGATGCCGATTGTTTACACTCCTACTGTTGGGTTGGTGTGTCAGAAATTTGGCCTCATTTACCGTCGACCTCGGGGATTGTTTATTACAATCCATGACCGCGGTCACGTTTATGACATTCTCCGGAACTGGTGAGTACGGGATTATTGACTGTTTGCCTTTTATGTGCGTGGCAACCTTTGTTTTTCTTTTTTTTAGTGCAGTACATGTACTGTAATGAAATTCTCTATCCAAGGTGGCCATTTTTAGACAGATTCAATTTGGTTCTTACTTTATTTGCAGTCGTGTGCTTTTCTGGTTGCTGTGGGTTTTTTGTTTTGTTTAAATGGAGAAAATAGACTTGGAATTTTCTCGAGATGTATTTGCTCAACCCGAAGCTTTCTGAATTTTTCTCAGGCAGTTTAAATCGAAGAGGAGACGCTGAGTGCAGAGCTCATCCCCTTGCTGTTGGAATTTAAAATTTTTGTTATTCTTGAACACTTCTGGAGTTTGTAAACGGTTGAAACGCTACGAAGAATTTGGAATGATTATTGAAAATGTGCATCATTTTTTTTAAATATTTGTAAACCATTTTCGGATTTTCTTTACCAAAATTAAATTCAATTTAGCGCCAAGAAAAAAAGAGATGCTGGTTAAGGAAACAATTGGCAATTTCCTTGTATTTATGATGGGGAACTTCTTGGACTGACAGTACATTTTGAATCATGAAAAAAATTTTTGAATACTGTACTTTGTTTCTCACCAGGCCTGAGAATGATGTGAGGGCTATTGTTGTCACTGATGGAGAACGGATCTTGGGACTGGGAGATCTGGGTGCCCAAGGAATGGGTATTCCAGTCGGAAAACTGGCACTGTACACTGCTCTGGCTGGTATCAAACCTCATCAGTGTTTGCCCATCATGATTGATGTTGGCACCAACAATGAGGTTTGTTCAACCCAATTTTTTGCTTTGACTGCTGATCTTCTTTTTTAGCGACTACACACCGCATTTATTGACCCCACACACAGGAGGTAATAGTACGGGGTTGGAAAATGTTCATCTGTCCATTTTCCAAGGAATGTAATTTTTATTATGCTGAAGTATTCTAATTTTTTCTAAAGTTATTTCATAAATGATTTAATATACCTTAATTATAATATAATTTTTATTGAAACAAATTTTTCATAAGGTTTCAGCAATTTCTTTGTAGGAACTGCGCTGTAGAAATCGTTTTTCTACAAGCTTATTTACACCTGTGATCTCAGTGTAACAACATTTTGTGTTGTAGTACTATAAAATGTTAATTGATGGACAGAACCTTTCAAGTATTCAATACCAGTTCCCCGCGCAATTTTATTTTTCGATGTTCTGAAAACAGTGCAATCAACATCTGTTACAAGCGAGTCTTTTGTAATGAATACTGTATTTCATTATCACAATTTTTTTCGCTGGTCACTTGGGTGTTCGCTGTAGCAAGATTTTAATGAGCTTTGATTCATCTTTAGCAGGGGGTTTTCACTGTAAATACATTGGTATGTGGAACACTTTGCAGCCCTTCTCTCAGTTTTTGAATCCATTCGTGGCAATTGTGTATCATGTGTGCATGTATCTTATCATTTGAGATAAGACAGAAGAGAGAATGTTCGAAAACAATCAGGATAGCATTGAATCTTGATTGAATGTTTTTTTTTATTGGTGCCTAAGCCTTTAAATCACATAACCTATGTAATCAATTGGCGGAAAAGCGCCAATTTTTCAGCTTGCTTGTCGGCCGATTTTCGTACACTTTTTTTCAAGCCTTCTCTTTATTTAAATGCACTAGTTTTGTGGATGTTCGTGAATTTATTCTTGAAGTGTTCCTTTTTCTCTCCAATCAGGATTTCTTGAAGGACCCTTTCTACATCGGACTACGTCAGAAGCGTGAGACTGGCGAGGCGTACGATGCGTTGATTGATGAATTCATGGAGGCTGTCGTTCGACGCTATGGTCAAAACTGTCTCATACAGGCAAGAATAGCCAATGAAAATGAATATATTTGTTGAAAAATTAATTCGGAGCTAATCCTTTCCGATTGCTGATGGGTTTCAATTTTTATTCATAACTTTAATGGAGCATGAACAAATCTTTATTTTGCTGGAAACGTTTTATTAAGATTAAAATCGTGTTTCCCATGAGTCACGAACATATTGGTAATTCTTTTTTTTTTTCCAGTTTGAGGACTCCGTTGGAAACTGTCTATTGAGAATATGACTGTTATTTTCCCCGTCATTCGCGAAAAATTGTTGCTATTATTTTCTTGAGTTTGACGGCTTTGTTGGAAACGGTGTACTGTCTTGAGAATATTGCGATTGCGTTCGCCTCTGTCTCTCACGAACAATTTTGGTAATACTTTTTTCCAGTTCGAGGACTTCGGGAATGCCAATGCCTTCAGGTTTTTGGACAAGTACAGGGACCGTTACTGCACTTTCAATGACGACATCCAAGGTACTGCTTCTGTGGCTGTTGCCGGTATTCTCGGTTCGCTTCGCGTCACAAAAAAGAAGCTTTCCGACAACACGTTTCTATTCCAAGGGGCTGGGGAGGTAATTTGTTTCGTCTTTTTTTCACCGATTCAATTTCTTATTGCTCTGAACACTTAATTTTTTTTATTTTGTTTAGGCCTCCCTTGGAATAGCCAATTTGTTGGTACTGGCGATGGTCGAAGAAGGCCTGGACATTGAAAAGGCGAGGAGCAAGATCTGGTTGGTTGATAGACGTGGTCTGATCTGCAAAGGCCGTCCTGAAGGCAACTTGACGGGACACAAGGTTCATTATGCTCACGACCACGAACCTATGTACGATTTGGAGAAAATTGTCGAGAAGATGAAGCCGACTATTCTTGTTGGTGAGTGTCAAAAACGTTCATGTGTGTCATCGTGGGAAATTTTTCTTTCTTATCATGATTAAAATCGTGAATGAAACGCATGCGGAAGTGTACCGAAGATTATGCGGAGGAAAACCGGATTCGAAATGCAAGAGAAGTGACATCTTGCTGACTTGGAACAGTTTTATATTGTCGCGGACTCACCAGGTCAATCACGACTGCACAATATCTTCCTAGATGGCGTACACTTATTAAACTGTATTTCCGTTGTGAGCGGCTGAACTTTGCACCGAGGGTCTTGAGAATCCTGCTAAATCCACACAAAAACAACGGCGATTTGAAATTTTCTGTCTCATGTAACGCGATGTATTATTTCGAAATGCGTTTTTCAAGGCCTTTTGCATCATTAATAAAATTATGTTTGATTTATTCTAGGTGCTGCTGGGGTGCCGAAAGTTTTCACCGAGAAGATTCTGAGGAAAATGGGTGAAATGAATGATATCCCAGTGATTTTTGCGCTTTCGAACCCTACGTCGAAGGCGGAATGTACTGCGGAAGAAGCCTATGTTAACACTGACGTGAGTTCCGCTGGATGAGAAATCCTTCGATGAATGCTGATCATTCACACATCCACGAGGTATATTTTCATTCAATTTGTATGTATTTCAGGGACGTTGCGTTTTTGCGAGTGGAAGCCCGTTCCCGAATTACAATTACAAGGGCAAAGAATTCCATCCGGGACAAGGAAACAATGCGTATATCTTCCCCGGTGTTGCTTTAGGAGTTATTTCCGTTGGAATTCATCAAATCACTGAAGGAATTTTCCTTCGTGCTGCGCAGGTTTGTGCTGATTTTACGTATTTTTTTTATACTGTATTTCTAGGTGCATATACTGTATATGAGACGATGCTTGACTTTTTTGTGCCTCAAGATGGATATTGTAGTAGAGTACTCAATTTTGTGAAGATTTTCATCACTAATTTGATGCCTCGAATAATGATTGGACTTGATACGATTGAGTTGAAATTAAATATCCAAGTGTATGAACGATATTATGAAATGATATTCTGGACCTCTAGGTTTGAAAAATTCTTTCATAAATTCCCATCTAAATCAATCTATACTCTCCAGGAAAATTTCCAACAAAATATTATTCAACCAAGGTACTGATTCTGTGGCTGTTGCCGGTATTCTCGGTTCGCAACGAGAAAAAAAGATTTTTCGAAAGAACCGAGAACAGTACAAAAATAATACGATGCATCAGTATTAAAGATATTAATTTGTTTAAAACCAATTTTAGAAGAAAGAAAAAACGTTTTTATCTTATAGAAATAATGGACGCTTTTTTTTAGACTTCGTGTCGGAGTTGTCTTTTGCCTTGTCCTCTGCAGCGTTCGTTCAATACTTGTTCGTTTTACATTATGCTCTGATTATTTTTTTTAGAAATTGGCAAGCATTGTGAGCGATGACGACTTGAGTTACCGTCGAGTTTACCCACCTCTGAACGCCATCCGGGAATGTTCCGTCAAGATTGCTGTAGATATCGGTGAATACGCCTACAGACATGGTCAGTCAAGCTTCATATAGTAATCGGAAATATTCACGAATAAGCCGCTTTTCCATCAGTTTTCTAAAGAATTATCGCATAATCCCTACGTGCCCTCCAAACGTTGCTGTGCTACGAAAAAGTCAGTTAGCTCGGTGTGTAACAAAATACAGTATTGTGTGATTCATAACAGCTTTGTTTTCTAGTTTTTCCTTCTTTTTTCGAAAATTTATGGCGAGCGAAAATCCTAAATATTTAAATGTCATCTAGAAAGAAATATTGTGAATAGGAATGCGCTGCTATAGCAATTTCCTTGAGATTCAGTCGAAGCAAAATTTAGAATAGACTTTTCGTTTACTAGTAACATATCTACCCGCTTTTTTTTTATTTTATCGGCTTACTGTACGAAACCAGGGTTGGTTTGATTTTTTTTTTATTAAAGCGTTCTGAAATCTTGCTCCCAATTTTTACATCCGACAGGTTCAAGTGCTTCTGGTGATTAAATGTTGGTTTTATGGGAGTACATGTAATTGGATTTATGTTATGATTTTTATGTCTTATCAAGGCCTCGCGTCGATGATACCCCGGCCGGAAAACCTGGAAAAATTCATCCGCGCGCAGCTGTTCGAAATGAATTACGTCCAATCGTTCCCCGATACCTACAATTGGCCTGAGTCCGTGATATCTCGATGATTCAGCGGGACGACTTGGCTTGACCCATATTTCTTTCAAGTTTTTGGCTTCTGATGGTTCCTTCGGTGCTGAATGCAAATTTTTTTTTTGCCTTTCGCGCCGGCCTATCCCAGTGTTCCTTTGGGATACATCCGTGTATGCCTCTGGAGTTCAGCGTATTTGTATAAAAAAATAATTATTATAATTGAGCAAAAAAAATTTGTTTTCGGCACCAGGATTTGATAATTTTTTGATACTGTACCAAAAAAAGCTGAAACTTTGTTCTCCCTCTCACTCCTGCTTAAACCTGATGACTATTCTTTTGAAAAGATACATTTTTGTACACGAAGCGTTTGAATCCTCGCGTGTTCATTTCGCGGCTACCGATTTATTTATCAGAGGACACTTCCACTTGATGAAATTATTCTTACAGGAATGGCGTCAGTTCACCCGAAGCCGAAATGCATGGAATCTTTCATCAGGTCTCAGTTGTACGACTACACTTATATGCCAGCAGTGCAAAACACATACAAGTGGGAAGGAATGGACGTCTAAAAAGCGCGAAAGACAGCGGAAAAAGTACGTAATTGAATCAAGATTCACTTTCTCTGGATAATTGTGGACGTCAAAACAACTTCTGAGGACCTCTCGTGTGTATGACATGTCGTAAGTCAGCCCTGTAATTTAATGCGCTGTTCATCAGTCAAGTTACTACCGGTGACCGCGAAAATGGTATCCTTTGACTTTTTTCTTTGTTTCGGTGAAAGATATTTTCCGCTCTTCCCTCTCGACAAGTGAGAAAATATTCCGCATTTAAATTATGAAACTGCGGGCGTTTTCTCACTTCGACGGTATATTTGCGGTGAAGAAATGACATGCGATCCGGATTGTGTAAATTATGTAAGTTATCCTGGATATATAAAGTGCTTGGTTTATTATTGTAAGGTTCTATATAAGTTTAGTCAGCAATGTGAAATGAGCCGGACTCGTTTCTATAGACCGTGATTGTATAGGTTTCGTGCTTGTGCTGACGTATTGTGAGAACACAGGCTGCCGCAGTTTCGTGTTGTTCTTATAGATATATGTGCTGATGGAGACTTGGAATGGTTTGTGGATTATTATTTCCTGATGGGATCTTATTTGGAGAGGTTGTGGGAACGTTATTTGCTGAAATCTGCGAAGTATGCGTTTAGTTCTCGGAAAGCGTGGGAGACGAAGTCCGCGGCATTCAAGCATTGTTGTTAGTGCAATAAAATGCGATGAATTTTGGTTCAACGTCTTTTATTTCATTTCGTAAGTTGGGGTTCATCTGAAAATCTGTGTATTATTGATGAATACTGAATTTGATGCGCCTATATTCTTATTCTCATCTTTTTTGGCTCAATAATGATTATGTTCATGTGAACGATTTATGGATTCTGTATTTGGGTTTATCTGCTGGGAGGATCGAAATGCATGAACCATGTTCTTGTTTTTATCTTCGTTTTTTACATTTCCTGGTTTCTATTGTGGATAAGCGTTTTTGAGCAGTATTTTCAAACACGCGAAGCAAACAGACTACAGTACTGTATTTCATTTCGTGCTTGAAGATATTTTGAATTTTTTTGAATAAGCGCACATCCAATTTATATGTACCTATGCAGTAGTATTGTCGGTGTTAACTTTGTTGATGCTGCTTATTATATTGCTTAGATTATGAAAATGTTACTGAATGTATTAAAGATTAATTTGACCGCAGAAGGATGGCCATTTTTCATTAAATATCTGGCTGCGCATGAGTATCAACTTCGAAATAGAATTGTGCACGAGGTTTTCATATTCCTGAATTATTCATGCATATTTAATTCGTCAGCTTAACGATGCCGTAGACATGAAATAACTAAGAAATTTCATTTCACAAAGAAAATTGCAAGTACTTGCTGCTGGTAAGGATTGGAAAAGTTACTGGCGCCTTATTCAAGGAATTTTCTGAGGTTTAAAGCTGTTCAAATGTGATCACCAGAGTGGTTTTATTTCCTGGTGATACATTAAGATTTTTGACTGGTAAGTGCAACTAATCCAAGGCCGGACGATTTACAATTCTGAAATACAGTACTGGACAGATCCATACAGTGTACGGCGAGGTTTGTGGTGTGCTCTGCTCGAAGTTCCCTGTGCTCAAGTCGTTCCTCTCTACTGATGGTAAGGATTCAAAATGGCGACCGTCTTGCTGAAAATATGTTTAAGCTGAGATTTGTCGCCGAGTGTGCGGACGGGTTGGGGATGAGCAAGCTCAAGGAAAGGTTCAGTTTTGGGTTGTGTGCGCGATGATGAAATTTTCGCTGACTTGTAGAAGTACGTTACATAGCTGACTCGTTTTGCAAATGAATTGTAGGAAGAATCTGATCGTGTGTTGTCAAGTGGTACTAGGTCAAGGTCTATCCTCCCTTGATCCATTCATGGTAGTAAGCACAGTATATACTGTAGAATTAAAGTGAGCTTGTTATGTGGTTTTTAGATGTATACACGTCATGACGCAATACGTATCTGTTCATGTCGATGAAATCAAAGATTGACTCATGATGAATTCTTGCATCCGTTTTAGCGCTGTCTGATTCACCGTTATTTCCTGTTAGTAGGTTAAGTGCTCTCGGTTCGTAACGATGGACGATATGATTGTTGGGGAAGTAGACTTTGAGGAAATCCTGAACAAAAGCGTGCGAAGCATAATGGAGTCGTGTGAAAGGTCACGAGCACAGATGATATCTATAGCGGAATCGGGCATCCGACATCAAGATGAACTGCGTGATGTTTATTCCAACTACGTTTCAAGTGCTGAAGAACTCATTGGACGTACCGGGCGTATGTATTCCTTTACTTAGTGTAAGGTGAATTACCTTCGCTAATAATTTATTTTGTAGAAGGATCACTGGAAGTGCTGCAAGAGACAATCAATGGCATAGAGAACGACCTCGCGGTTGCAATTGCTGGGGCTGCTAAAAGTTACCGCCGCGCCGCGGAGTTGGAAATGTATTCTTCATCAGTGAATAGTGAAGTGCAGAGTGCATTGGTAAATAAGGAGTGGCTTGACCCTGAAGTTCAAGCCATAAAAAGTTCTGGCGTAAAAAGAACTATGAAACGTGAGTACTGTATGCAGTAATCATAGTTCTGCTGTACGTGTATTGTTCGTTTAATATGTGTATTTGTGTCAAGCTCGCGCGTGGTCAGGGTGTGTTTCCCATTGATAATTGAACTTGTTCCTCGTTCAGATGCGAGTGACGGCAGTAAAGACGTGAAACATGCTCAGGAAAAATTGAGGTGTATTCTTGCGGAAATCAATGACATAGAAGAGCTCCTTAGTTTTCGGATAACGCCTGAAGAGGATAATGCGCTCAAAATCAGCTTTTGGAACTTGTTGGAGACATCTGCAAGCAGACGTTGCTTTTGCGTAATTCGAGTTTCGAAGCCAGTCATCGAACGTGAGGATGATCAGAACCGCATTTTCATAGCTTGTCGAGTTTTAATTTGGAGATTCCATTTCAGTACTGTCATCTGAACCCCGTGACGTGCCCGGCTTGGAGCAGCTCTGCAGAAACGCGAACGGAGTGGTGGATTTCAAGTTCTTGGTGAACTTGAGGAATGTCATGATCAAGTGTCTGACTAATTCCGTCTGATTTTGTATTTACTAATTTTGATACGAATACATTGTAATGAACTTTTATTTTATCCTGCTTGCTTTTTCATATTGTGTGACATTATGTTCAACTCTCCCAATTTTTTTTCAGATTGATTTGTTTCCCAGCATTCCGAAATTCGGTTATGGGTTGTTGAGTGTATCTGTGTTATCAAGGTTTGCTCGCTTGTGAATCAAAAGCGATGTTGAGTGACTGAGTTGCTGCGCGTAACGAGCTCAAGAGAAACAAGCCCAGGAGGCATCTGAAGGACGTATCCCGTGTTGTAGCTGTCTGTGACAGTGAGTGAAACGAAGTGCAATAAACTACGATGGCGTTTGCCGGATTGAAGAAGCAATTCAACAAAGCCAACCAGGTAGGTTAATCTGTGGTCAACAGTCGAGGCTTCATCTGAAATTTTATTGCGTCTTCAAGTATGTTAACGAGAAGATCGGTGGTGCTGAGGGGACGAAGCTGGACGAGGACTTCATGGAAATGGAACGGGTATGAATAAGTTGAAATTTTTTCTAAAATATTTTTTGATTATTTTAAGCGTGTTGCCGCGATTTTGGCAACCTTCCAGTTAACCAACGCCCCCTTATTTGACTCTACAACTAGCTGACCTAGATTCTGTACCTTAAGTGAGGGTTAACATTTGGCACATGCTTGCGAAAACACTCAAGGGGATAGATCTTACCGAGGATGAACCAGAGCCTGTTCAATCGTTTTTTGTATTGAATTGATAACCTTTTTTTTTTCTTCCTAGAAAACGGACGCTATGTCAGAACTCGTGGAAGAGCTTCAGACCAAAACGAAGGAATATTTACAGCCGAATCCCGGCATTCGAGCCAAAATGGCTGCTGTCAAAGGTATCTCTAAACTAAGTGGACAAGCGAAAGCGGCCACTTATCCCCAACCGGAAGGATTGCTCGGGGAATGCATGATTACGTATGCGAAGAAGCTGGACACGGATTCCGCTTTTTGTAAGCTGAATTCAGATCATCGTCATTCAGAAATTCCTTTCTCGACTCTTCAGATATAAATCGTGGCACCTGTTCACACGAATAAGTCATAGTCTACACCTGAGTTTCTGTTTGTTTTCATATTAGTCGTCACAGCGCTCACAGGAGAGCGAAAAATAGACGAAAACTAAAATGCTGGTGTGAAGTAATCAAATCTCACGCTCTCAAACAAATAAACTTTTGATGCGAATAATGCATGAAAAAACGAATGTGAAGAATGCTTCTCATCCCCCTTTAAAAAAACGTTACAAATTCCTGGTAATGTTTCAAGGCAAAAAATGCTGAACACTAAAGCAGCTCCGAATATGCCTTGCCATATTCGGAGACACGCGAAAGATGATGTAGGAATGATGATTTTGCGTGAAAGATAATACGTAAAAATATAGAGAGGAATTTTTCGTGAACAAATGTAAACGTTGTCATGGTATTCCAGTACATTTCTTGAACCAATATGAGATGCGGTTTAGATGATGTTCAGGTCTCGTGATAGCTCCCTTGTGAATTCTTGATATTGTGTGAAATTCCTTATGCAAAACTAAGTGGACAAGCGAAAGCGGCCACTTATCCCCAACCGGAAGGATTGCTCGGGGAATGCATGATTACGTATGCGAAGAAGCTGGACACGGATTCCGCTTTTTGTAAGCTGAATTCAGATCATCGTTATTCAGAAATTCCTTTCTCGACTCTTCAGATTTAAATCGTGGCACCTGTTCACACGAATAAGTCATAGTCTACACCTGAGTTTCTGTTTGTTTTCATATTAGTCGTCACAGAACTCACAGGAGAGCGAAAAATAGACGAAAACTAAAATGCTGGTGTTGAGCAATCAAATCTCACGCTCTCAAACAAATAAACTTTTGATGCGAATAATGCATAAAAAAACGAATGTGAAGAATGCTTCTCATCCCCCTTTAAAAAAAACGTTACAAATTCCTGGTAATGTTTCAAGGCAAAAAATGCTGAACAGTAAAGCAGCTCCGAATATGCCTTGCCATATTCGGAGACACGCGAAAGATGATGTAGGAATGATGATTTTGCGTGAAAGATAATACGTGAAAATATAGAGAGGAATTTTTCGTGAACGTTACATTTGCAACAGTACCATAAGGTCATGTAAAGAACTTGGTTATACTCTACGCCAAATCTACTACAAGTCCAGAGCACTATCGAGGGAACACTTAAGAACTATAACACACTTTAAGGAATACGTTTTTTCGTGTTTCGGGACAGCTGACGCGCTGAATGAGTTCGGCGAGAGCTTGAAGCAGATGGCCGATGTGAAATATTCCCTGGATGACGCAATTAAACAAAATTTCCTGGAACCGTTGCACCACTTACAAACCAAGGACATAAAGGAAGTGCTGGTAAGTCTTGGAGGGATTAATATTTGCCAACATTACTTCTTTCTCGAAAAAATGGCGCCCGTAATCACGGATGCCACGTTTAATCAATATAGTCGAGCTATACTGAAAAAAAAGGATGTACCGGACATACTCCACGTCATAATAGACTGCATATTAGTAGTCGTATTGAAAGTTCTTAAAAAAGCGCCAGATAAGTCAAAAAAGGTGGGCTTCATATACGACATCTTTAAAAAAAGTTTTGAATAGCGCATACTAATTGTGTAATTTGAATGTGTAATACGCCGTATGAGCATTCAAGATAGCACTGTAATTAAGTATGAAATGTCGCACAAGTTCAAGTTGTACAAAGATTTCATAATTTCGGTCAAGAATTGATGCAATGCTTAGAATAGCGCGAAAAGAACCAGGAAATCACATGAGGCAGTTTTTTCATCACATTTCCTGGATGGAGACGTGCTACCTAAACTTTGTTGATGAGATGGTTGTTTACGCTTTGAACATATTTCAATCTCGATTTTTCCATTTTCTCTCAGCATCATCGAAAGAAGCTCCAGGGCAGAAGATTGGATTACGATTGCAAGAAACGGAAGCAAGTCAAAGGTGAGTTGATGATGCGATTTTGGTGCATTCGTTTATTTTCAAACAGCTTAACGATTGAATTGAAATTCGAGGACCGAGAAGCCCAGCTGGCGTTTACGGGAGTCCTGTTCGGGGTAAATATGGGTAGAAAGCGTATCAAGCAGCATTTATGTCCCCTTTTCTGTCCTACTAATGTCACGTCACGTATTCAATGTTCTGGGTAAATGAGCTGTCACGGGTAGACCCTTTGTTGCGTGAGGGCATTCAGAACCCAACACGGGAAATTGCATTCGCTGTGTTGGGAATTTCAAGGAATCTTGAATAACCTTCGCTATTCTGTTTTAATTTTGAAGAGCTTTATTTGCTTTATGCTGTATTTCAAGGCATGAACTGGCATAATCAAATATAATACTGTATTGTTATGCTGCTGAAGCGGAACACTTCGATGTAAAGGTACCTGCGACAGGGACGGATTCTGTTGAGAACTTTTATGTCTTATCTACAGTTTAAATTATTTTTATTTTATTTTGGATTACTGTACTAAGTAATCGTGCTTCACTTTTGTCATCCTTTCTTCTTGATTCAGAAAAACCTTTACTGCGGAGAAAAATCGAAGCAAGGAGGAATATGAGCAGTTCCATCTTTTATTTTGTAAATTGTAACGAAATAAGTTGATATTTATGATTGACGTCGACAATTTGAAATGTCTTCTGAAGGGTCTTAAATCGTTATGAAAATTTTCTCCCAATTGGTCATGAAAATTGTCTCCTGAGGCACATGACAATTGGTCATTCCTTAATTGGTAATTTAAAATAAGAAAATTTTCCTAGTCTATTCATCATTTGAAGTTTTGATTATTTTGAAGTGGTGAAGAGTGTTCTTCGTGTAAGTGGTTGAATCTCGTTCATGATCTGACACTTCGTGTAGGATACTGACATTTCGTGTATTCAATGATCAGGCATTTGGCAGTTGTAAATCCTATGAAAATCTTCGTGAAAGGCTTTCTAAAATTTTTTGAAAAAGTGAGCTGTTTTTTGTGAGAAGAAAAGGTCGAGTACTGTATAATTTTCTTGCTGTTAGGCACATTGAATAAAGTTTTAAATTTTTATAGTTATAATGAATCATGAGGTTCTTAAACCGCGTTCCTTCCTGTGGGAAAACTAGAACATTAACCCGGATGCTAAAGCGGAAATGCCGGGAGATTCTTGATAGCCGTAAGAATGTCGGGTCCATGCTTTGGAAAAGCAGCTGGATGGTTTCTGAATTCCTCACGATAACCGGGGAAAAAATGAAGTGCCACGTGGGAGAAGAGAAGTGATGAGCACTCAAGTTCTTTTTTTTTTTCT